ATGGACCACCAAAAAAACAAGTAAGTCTGTCTTGGAGAAGGTGAAGCAAGTTTCTCCTTGGATGCTAAGATCTTGAAACTCTATCTCATAAACTTTGGGCATATGTCCTAGGAGAAGGGCATGCTTGAAGGGTGGAGGAACAGTGTAGGAAAGGAAAATCCCAGATGAGATGGATTGACATAGTAACTGGGGCAATGGGGGTTGGTATGTCAGCATTAGTGAGACTGGCTCAGGGCAGGGAAGGGTTCAGACCTGCTGTCCATAGGGGTCACTGGTGACTCAATTGCACATAATTAACAAGCATCATAGCAGAAGTGACCCATAGTTGACCCACAAGTCAATTACATTCTCTCACCACTAAGCCACTAGATGATAGATTAGATAGATAGATATAGATAGATAGATAGATAGATAGATAGATAGATAGATAGATAGATGAAATGTCTTTGAGCCTTTTAGAGGAAATTTGTTACAAGTGTTTAATTGTAATTATGGTAAGGTAAATTAATTATTATAAAGTTGGTAAGTCTTTTTTAATAACTTTGTCAGTTTTTAAATATTATGTGGTACTATATTTTAAAAAGCAATAATTAAATATCTTAAGTGAGTTTGCATTTTGTTTGCCGTAAAGAGGGAAGCACAGGATGGAGAAGAATTTGTACCTTAAAGAGGTATTGCCAGTTACATCACTGTAGGGGTTAGAACTGTGAATCATCACTGAGTGTTTGAAACTAAAGAAAGGCAACCTTCCTCAAGGGGCAGGGGAAAAAAAAATTCTACAAACCACAAACTCCATCCAATCAGGTAAAGACAGATCAGCCTTTAGACAAATCAAATGTCTTCATTTAAAGCTTACCTGGATTTGGCATTCTGCCCATCTTTTTCAAATCTCTTTACAATACACTTTCACAAACACTTGAAGCATACATACTGAAAAGTATATCTTTGGCCATACGATTTCTAAAACAGAGACCTCTTTAGCCCTAGGAGGACAGACCATTTGGGAAGAAGAAGGTTAATTTCCTAGGTAGCCACAGGTAAATACAGGATTAGTGGGTGGGATTGAGGTGTGCTCTGGAGCATAAATAGAGGTGCAAGCTGCGCTTGGCACAGTCTGAAGCTTGGACTGCATCCTGGCTGGCTCGTACAACACAGGTGGGTGGGGAGCCAGGTAAGGCTTCTGATGATAGATGTGGAAAGGCACCTGCTAGAATGAGCTTTGGCCTGTGACTGTTAAGCAAAGTTGCAGGCAATTTAACAGGCAAAGAGTACGAGAGTCCCAAGGGCAATGAAGTGGAATGTGGAGAGGGCATAAGAGAATTTACATCAAGTTTTTCCCGGTCTTTGCACGGAGTAAAGGGTTGAACTGACAATGTGTTATCTTCCTGCGCTGGTTCAAAGTAATTGTTTTTCCTTTAGAAAATGAGGTTTAAGGGTGGGCTAGTCTAGGAAAGTGGTAACCCACCAGGGATTTTCTTCATTACTATCAAATACTCTGCTTCTCATTTGCCGGCTAAGGCCAAGCCCATGGTTTTCTCAGCTGAGAAACCACTGTTTACTGGGTTGTTCGCTTAAAATGTCCTACTGCTAATCGGAAAACAATTCTTTCCATATCTGAGGTCAAGATATTCTTGTTGGTTCTTTGATCTTTAAATGCCCAGGATAGTCTACTAGAGGAAAGTTGCTTTCCTAAAGCATTTAAGAAGAGGAGCACCAAAATCTACTGCATGTTCACTCCTTGCCAAAGAGGGGAAGCCAGAGGCAGAGGGGCCAGCAAAAATGCTGGTTTCTTAGCAGGCGAGCCTCCAAATCATCAGTCTCTTCCATTGTTAATGCTGTTTTGAGAGGCTTTTATGCAGGAAGTTTGTAGAGCAGAGTCTAGTCCAAATATGAAAACGTGGCAGACAGAATCTCAGAAAGTTACCCCAGAGCAGGATGTTTGCAGATCAGGGGTTATATTGAGTTTCCTGGAGCAATCTTGCCATAAAATGAAGGCATTATATCAGTCATTCCAATTTGAAAACTGCTGAGTTACTGTAACAATCCTAATAGCCACTTGGACTGCAAGAATTGTCCGTGAACTAAGTAAAAGCCTTCACCGTGAATTTAATTCCTTTGCCCTCCCAACTGGATATAGATGCTGTTGTTATAAACCTAACATTAAAAAAAAAAAATCAAAGGTAGATAAATATAAATTCAAAGTAGCCATTTGCCAGTATGTATTTCTGATTCAATTAATAGCCCCAAAGTTGGCTTATTCTCACGGAGAAGTCCTCAGATTTTTTTAGACATTAAAAAGAAATCTTTGTGCTGTGGACTGCTGATCTGCAGTTCACCAGAGCTGTTTCTGAGGAATGTTGTTAGGTGCCATTCAGTCACTCTTTGCTCAAAGCAACGCCGTGTGACAGGGCGGAAGTACGACCCTGTACTGTGACAGTGTAGCTGTTTGTCTTGACAAAAGCAGGTCACCAGGTCTTTCCTCTGCGACGCTGCTGGGTAGATTCAGTCCGTGAATCTGTCAGCCACTGGGCATGTAAACATCGTGACAGAGGAGATTCCGTACAGGATTGTACTCTCTTAAGTGAAATATTTAAGCATGAATGTCTTTCTCCTTGAGTAGATGCCATGAAAACTGTGAGAGCCAGATGACTCTGTCTAGTTTCTGGGGCCTACAAGTGTTTCTGCCTCTGATAAGATACGGTCTAATCATTTTTCTGTCATTCATTTTAGGGAAAATGCATTTTTCTTTTCCTCCTTCGAAACAAGTCTAACTGTACTAAAGTTCTAGCTTTCACGAGTTTTACTATATATATTTAAATACATCTTTTTCTGCCTGTCAATCTGTATCTATATTGAGAAATCCATATCTATATAAATCTACATCTTCACACCTTTATCATATAGATCTATACAGAGGTGGATAGACTTATATATCACATATTCATGGAAAGATTCTGTTGCAAGTTCACTCTAATCACATGTGCTCAATCTCAGCAGTACCCCAATCCCTGTTGTATCCCACTGTTGTGATCCAGTCAGAAGACATTACTTCATTTTTGCTTTACTGACTTTTTACATACCTATTCTCTATATCAGATTTGCCATGGAGAAGTTATCTGTGTCCGCATTCCTGCTGCTCATAGCCCTGTCTTATTCTCTGGCCAAAGATACTACAGTCAAACCTGCAGCCAAGAAGGAAACAAAGGACCCTAAGCCCAAACTGCCCCAGACCCTCTCCAGAGGTAGGAACCCACTTCTTGTTGGATTCTAGTGACCATTTCACTGGGGAAGATGGCCTTATTCTTGTGTGATTGTTGTATTTTTATTGGAGCTCTGGTAGCCTAGATCGTTGTGCTCCTGATCAAAAACATCTGGCAATTTAAATCCACCTGCTGCTCCATGGGAGTAAATGGGCAGTCTTCTCCAATTAAGATTTACAGCCTCAAAAACTAAATGGAAGGCTGGCATGAGTCAGAATTGGTTCAAAACAGAGGGGAAGAGGGTGTAGTTTTATGGTGAAGAATGTTTATACTTACGTAGGCACCAGTTTATGGGAAAAGACAACAAGCTGAGAAAGGTAGAGGGTCAGAGAAAGAGGAAGACCCTCAAAAGATTGACACAGTGAGCGGAATAATGGGGTCAAGCATATCAGAAAGTGTGAGGATGGCACAGGGTAGGGCAAGGTTCAGATCTGTTCTTCATAGGGTAGCGGTGAGTCATAGCTGTCTCAACAGTGTTTAACTACAAATAAATGTACACACACACACACACACACACACACACACACACACACACACACACATCTACATTCTCCAGAGACTTCTCTTAATTACTATGGAGTGTGTATTTACCTGTCTTTACCATTGCTTTGGGATTAAGGTCAGAAGAACTTTAATTTGCTGGTTCTCTTGGTTCTAGGTTGGGGTGATCAACTCATATGGACCCAGACATATGAAGAAGCTCTATACAAATCGAAGACAAGGTAAAGATGAGAGTTGCCCAGAACTCTTGTGAAAGCTCTCAAGAGCACCATCTAGTGATATTTAGCTAAAATAAAATCGTACCCACTAAAATAATTCAATCTCTTTGTTTCTTAAAGCAACAAACCTCTGATGATTATCCATCACTTGGATGAATGCCCACACAGTCAAGGTAATTTCTTCAAAATGTGGCTTGCGTCTATGTTTTTCTTAGGTTTGAAGGCAAAGTTCAGATGACACATTTTAGTGTCTTTACCACTAAGTTCAGATAAAAAAAATATTTTATGTAGTAAAAATGTGTTTAATGTAACTTCACATATTTTATGGATTTTTCAGTAACCACTTGTAAGTTGTGTACTTTAAAGTTAAATATTCATCCATAACTTCTTTTTCTTGTGTGAGGGACCTCCAGGGGCATAGGGGGTTGTGCTGTTAATCCAAAGGCTGGGCCTTTATAGCTCTTTGAATCCATGAGCATCTCCTAAGGAGAAACATGGACAATAATCTTCTGTGTGGTTTATGACTCCAGAAATCCACTGGACGCTCAGCTATTAATCACTTCCAACCCTACAACAATGACCTTGATTTTCTTATTTCTTTAGTCTTCTTATATCCCATATCCAGTACATCAACAAATCCTGCTGGTTTTCCTACAAAATATATCCTAAATCTAGGTCCCATGAAGCTTCCTATACTTAGAAAGCTGTCATACTTGGTTAAATGGTCTGTCACTGCCTTGAAAATGATCTATAATAATTTTTGCACAAGGGGCTTGCATTTCCATTTTGCACTCAGCCGTGTATACTATGCAGCTGGTCTCATTCATACTCAATCACCGACCATTGCCTCTTCTACCCTAATCCAGGCTAACATCACATCTTAGAATATTGTAATTGTAGCCTAAGTGGTCTCTCTAAAGTCAGATTCTCCACAGAGAATCCTAATTGAGGTGCTTAAACAAAAATCAGATCCTATCTTTTGTGTGTTCAAGAGGTAATCACAGGTAAAATGAAATCCAAATTCCTGGCAGCTGACCATAAAGCTGTGCGTCATCTGACCATTGACAATCCTTCCATCCCTACTACTCTTTCCTAGTACTGATCCTCGAACATCCAAACTCTTTCCCCGCTCAGAGCTCCTGTTCTTGAAGTTTCTCTGCATAAATTGGCCTATGCCCAATTCTAGGAATGGATTATTTCCTCCTTAACATCACCTCCTCAAGGAAACTTTTCCTGACTTCCTCATAACTTCTAAATCTTCCACTTTTCTGTTGTTTTTTTTTTTTTAGTGCATATCTCCAACTTGAAATATTTATTTGATGTGGTTTATGGTCTGTCTCTCATAGAAACATTTCAGTTATACGAAGAAAATGTCTTTTTGTCACTGTTTTTCATTCTAACATGCATAGAACAGTGTATCTATTGTATACTGTTGTTGTTGTTGTTATTATTGACTACCATCGCGCATAACCCATAGTGACCCTATGAACAAAAGGCCTGAAACCTTTCTATAACTATCACCATTTCTCAAAGTTCAGAGTTTCCAGAGGCATGTTGTTTAGCAAGTGGATGCTACTCTTGCTTCCAACTCTACTGTATAGTGGCTACATGGCAATAAATACAGACTGGGGGGAAAATTGGTGAACAGTTGAATGAGTGAATGTAGAAAAGCAAAGGTTATCAACTAAGATATTATTCCATTAGTCATCTGCTGAAAGTCCAAAATAGAATATTGAATTAAAACATAACGGAAAACAATGTTTAACCAACAATGATGTGGCATTTTATGAGTCTTCATGTTATTGCAGCTTTAAAGAAAGTGTTTGCTGAAAGCAAAGAAATCCAGAAACTGGCAGAGCAGTTTGTCCTCCTCAACCTAGTGGTAAGTTTACTTTCCACAACCAACATTTCTCCGTATCTCATTATCTGAAACGGAGTATTCCATTCATCCACTCCTATGCATCTTATTGATACTGCATTAACTGGGATCTATTCCAAATAGCCCATCTCATAGATTAGAAAGAGATCTTTCATTTTCTTAATCTACCTTGCATGCCTATGTTTTTACTTAGCAATTAATTATTCTAGGTTGTCTGAAAAGCATTTTCCTGTGATCAGGATTTCCTATCACTATAATAATTGAAAGCTTTTTAATTTTGCAAATTACTATACATCCACAAAAGTCCTGTGTCCCTCTTATATCCCTAGCTGCTCTCAACTCATTCTAATTCCTGCTCGCCTCTCTTCAAAGAACAGTCAGCTCTCTGACTGTCCACATATAACTGACTTTCAAGCTTTCTTTCTTTGTAAATAGGTGTGGGTTTTTTTCCCCCTACTCAGTATAGAGTTTAGTCTCCTAAAACCAAGAAAACGTAATGCAACTAAACCTAACCTGGTGGCATAGTCTGTAGGGTATTGCACTATCAACTCAAAGGGCATGCTTATTTGGCGGCTCGAATCCAGCGGCAGCTCCGAGGGAGAGAGATGGGCAATAACTGCTACGAGTTGTTCCAGCGATGACGCTGTGTTTGAGTTTTGACCTAGCCTGATGTTGTTTGTCCTCTCTCCCTCCTTCCCTCCCAGTCCCTCTCCTCCTTTTCACAGGTTCTCCCCCACATCCCCTCCTCAGGTTCCTCTTCCTCTTTCCTCCCTTTAACATTAATGACTTAGTGAGTCAGTCCTTGATGTACTTCTCTTTTTTAAAATTTATATTGTCTGGACAGGTTTATGCATGCCCACCTTAAATCAGTCAAATATACACATCATTCTGACATCTTGCACAAACTATCACCATTTTCTCTGGTACCCAAACATGTTCCTAAGAGCTAGTAATTAGCTTCAGCTGTGCCAGGCTTTCCAAAGGGCCCTTCTTTTTCTAGTTCCTATCTCATTTCCAAGAGAAAGTGACCCTCTTCCATATTACTGCTCACCTACAATGTCCGGTCAAAAAGCCTTGTGCTTTTAATGGCCAAGTTTCCCTGCTCAAGGTCATTTTTTTGTAACTGCAGGCTACTATTTTAGCATGAGACATGTTCACTTTTATCTAGTCTACTGCAAGATTACTAAAAGCTTGTTCTAAAAGGAAAGTCCCATATGATACCCACGTGGCTGCCAGGTGAGTTACTGTAAAGGCAAAGCAGGGACCATTCTAGTTGTCTGGCATCCCTGTCAAGGCTCTCGTGTCTCTGGCATCCCTGTGACATAGCAGACAAGGCCTGTCGGATCTGGCATCCAGAGAAGCTCAGCAATCTCTTCTCTCTCTTCTTGACTTCATTCATCCCTGCACCTCAGTCCTTCAGAAGCACGAGGTCCTACCAGAAAGTTCCATGCATCCCCTCTCCCTACCTAATGGCATGTTCCTTCCCTGCCCAGATCAGCCTCTCCCATTCCACATCACTAGTCGCTATTGATTTTTCACTCCTCTTTACCCACTTCAGAAATTCCTACTGGAACCTGAAGATTGAGTCAAATAACCTGTTCCTGGTGCCCACTGTGACTGGATTTTCTGTATCAGAACATTCCACACACAAATCCTCAGTATTAGTTCTCCTGCCTGTATGTCCTAACTAGTATGTGCATTCATTTAAGAGAAGCATTTTATCTTGCTAACTAAATTTTTAAATGATAAATTGAAAAATAGATAAAAATTTCTCCAAAGAGAATCCTCTTTTGTCCATTAATCTGTAACACTCTTCTTTTCCCAAATACTATAAGCCAAAACCATTGCCATAAAGTCTATTCTGACACCTGATGACCCTACAGAACTGGTCTGCTTCATAGGATTCCCAAGGCTGCTTTTGTTGTTGTTGTTGTTGTTGTTGTTGCTGTTATTATTATGTGCCATCTAGTCGCTTGCGACTCATAGAGACCCTATGTACAACAGCCCTAAACTCTGCTCTGTCCTGTGCCAATCGCACGGTCTCTGATACACCCATCCCGATTACCCCAGTCACTGAATCAATCCACCTCGTAGAGGGCCTGCCCTTCCTCCGCTGTCTCTCCACCCTACCAAGCATGATGTCCCTCTCCAAGGACCTGCCCCTCCTTACAATATGTCTAAAGTATGTTAGATGGAACCTCAGAATCCTTGCCTCCAAGGAGTAGCCTGGTTTAACCCTTTCCAGGATGAATCTGTCTTTTTTCCTAGCAGTCCATGGTACCCTCAATACTCTTCTCCAGCACCACAGCTCAAAGGCATCAATTCTCCTATCCTCCTTAGTCATTTGTCCAACTCTCTGATGCATAACAAGTGATTGCAAAGACCAAGACCTGTATCAGATGCACCTTCATCTCCATAGTGACACCATTGCTCTTCAGTACTTTGGAGAGGTCCCTAACAGCAGACTTTCCCGTGGCAATACGTCTTTTAATTTCCTGGCTGCTGGTGTCAAGAGTGCTGACTGTGGAGCCAAGCAACTAAAGCGGTGAACAATCTCAATCTCTTCACCATCCATCCTGATGCTGCCAATTGGTCCAGTGGTGAGAATCTTTGTCTTCTTGACATTGAGCCTCACTCCATATTGGAGGCTGCAGTCCTTGACCCTCTGCAGCAAGCGCTTCAGGTCCTCCTCAGTTTCAGCAAGCAGGGTTGTGTCATCTGCATATTGTAGATTGTTGCTAGGTCTTCCACCCACCTTGACCCCACATTCCTCTTCATAGAGCCCAGCCTCCCAGATAATCTGTTCTGCATACAGGTTGAAAAGGTATGGAGACAGGATACATGCCTGGCATACACCCAAGGCTGTAATCATTATAAAAATTAACTGCCACATTTTTCTCACAGAGTAGCTGGTGGATTCAAACTACTGAACTTTTTGTTAGCAGCTGAGCTTTAAACATTGCCCCACTAGTTGTTGTTGTTGTGTACCGCTGGGTCAGAACCAACCCATAGTTGATCTTCCACTGAGTTTTCACATGCAGTAAACTGCATGGGGTGAGATTGTTCATCTTTCTTCAGCTGAATAGCTAGTGGATTTGAACCATGAATCTTTGCATAGGCAGCACAATTTCTTACTACACAACCACCAAAGTTCCTTGCAAATTCTCCAACTTGTTATCCTTACCACAACCATCCAACTCTATTTGCGTGAAACTTGTTCCTTCACCAATAGTAAAAACACTTTGAGGAAGTGACGTGTATCTCATGGGGTCTGGCCCACTACTGAATGCATTCTTCTGGATCAACAGTTTAAAAATAACTAAGGAGTAAACAAACTAAAAGCTGGTTTTGTTTGCTTTTAATCCCAGTATGAAACAACTGACAAGCACCTTTCCCCTGATGGCCAGTATGTACCCAGGATTATGTTTGTTGGTAAGTGAAAGCGGCAATGAAATGAGACACTTCCTGAAGATGCACAAGCCCTGTAGTATCCCTTCCTCTGTCCTCCTCGACTCTCACCTAAGCCAATGTCACTAGTAAGTTCTAACTAGGACAATAGTATTTCTTTACATTTTACAGCATAATTGTATTCTTTATTTATGGCCATGAATATTTCTCCCATCTGCTAATTCTAATTTTTCCATTTCTGCCACAAATACATCTAGGAAGAACCTCTTAACAATTCACTTTACCAAACACATCAGATTGCAAGAATTTTTTTTTAAACCAAGCAAACATCTCTGGTGGAATGTTTTCTTTAGAAAAGTTAGCACTATGGACTTGGGGCTGGGGAGAAATCAGAGGGGCCATGCTTCCTTCCATGGTGTTTCTTCTGCTGTAGAGCAGGTCATGCTTTTCTTTCTACCTCTAAGTAAGAGTTCAGTCCTCAACCATCACTGTCATCCTCTGATCCAGGCAAATTCCCACAATGTACAGTTGCAAACCCATCTTCTTTTATAAGTAGCACCTCCCTCACTTAGGCGTTTGCATTAGTTAACTAATTAACAGTCTACGGTCAAGCTCCATCATCTTCCCATCATGACCTCCTGGTAGCTATACTCTCAGAACATATTTATTGAATGGAAATTAATTTGCATTTGGTGAAAGTCATACTGACTTAAAGGCAAACACTAATTTCACCTATCACACAGCAGAGTTCACACTAGTCTAACAGGTCATCATTACGACATGTCAATTTTCATTAAATGTATAACAGGGGAAAGAAAAACAAGCGAAGTGGGGGCGGAAGAAGGATGAAGTAAAGCACTACTGTAATAGATTTCATTTTATCACGACTTAGAAGGTCTGCCAGTAGCCAAGCGGTGCTGGGTGGTTCCTGACTGGCAGCAGGCACATGCGTCAGAGTGGAACTTCGCCCCAGAGGGTTTTCAGTGGCCAGTGTAGACCTCCAGGCCTTCCTCCCAAGGTGCCTGCCTAGGAGGGGACCTCTGCCTACAACTTTTATTAGAAAGGCTTAGCAGCTGAGACCGTTAACCATTTTTACCACCCAGGTACTTTTGCCTTTTTTAAGAACATTTTTCCTTACATTAAGAGGGACTTGACTTGACCATACACCCCGTGCAAGAATTCTTCTTTACAGTATCCTTGTTAGAAACCATTTAAACTCATATTCCAGACTTTCTGTCCAAAGAATCAACTTTAAGACCTCTTGCTCTAACTCAGTGGCTCTCTGTTTAAAAATCGTGCTGCTTAAATAATGGGGAATCTCCTGTGGAGTCGGGGGCGAAGGGAGGAGTGTACTATTCTAGCATCTCCAGGTGATTCCAGGGTTCAACTATGAACCACTGGGGGGATGTTCCAAAGCCTTTTCTGTGCTGGTTCATTACAAAGGTCTTTGTATCCTCTGTATCAACAAAAAGTATGATTGGTCTTGAGGTCATAACGATTTGTTAAACAATGACTATTTGCTTATTGTAATGCCTACCTTCTGATCATCAGCCAGCCTTTTGAAACAAGGCCCTAAAGAGCTAGCCTTTGCATCCTGGAAGTGGGTCTCAGTTCCTCATTGTGTTTCCAAGACACACTTCTTAGGCTCTTTCAGTCAACCCTCTCAAAAGGAAAGCGTTTAGACTTTTCCACAATCTGATACCTCCTCTCTAAATGCATCTTAATTTTTTTTAAACTTCCCCTTTTGATAACTTAAAAACATAAGACATGGGAGAGGAAGGTTTTAAACTAGAGAACTATGTGAAATGTTACAGAATACTCTTCAGTTTCTAAATTTAAAATGCAACCAATTATCAACCAAGTAAAAAATACAAAGGGACACTACTGCATGATTATTTGATCCTTGCTATTTTAAATGTTTGCATTGTTTTACCCATTAAAAAGACAAACCAAAAAACCTTTTTGATTTCAAAACAAGCACTGGATGTGTGGCCTAGATCATCTAGGTTGCTCTTGGTAACACATTCCAATTAACAACAGAAGCATTTTAAGAGTTCAGAATAATCCTGTTGGGGAGAATGCCAAGATCTTCACAGATAACCCAAACCACTCCTCCAAATACATAATATTCTGCTGTCAGGTTGCTACAGATAGGAAAGCAGGGTCCGTGACCCCTTCCACAAATAGCACTGTGCATCTGCTGAATGTCCTTGGGCTGCTTTAGTTACTTGCTAAGGGGCAGGACCCCAGGGGAGAAGAAGGAATGGAGAACTGGACCAAGGAGACCCACAGTGTTTCCCCACCAGGACAAGGAAATGCAGGCTCTACCATGCATTAGGGGGCAGTTGGGAAACAAAGCAATCTGTTTCTTTTGCAGACCCATCTTTGACAGTCAGAGCTGACATCACTGGAAGATACTCAAATCGTCTCTATGCTTATGAGCCTTCAGATGTGGCCCTATGTAAGTTTACCCCCTTTGAACAGTTCTACAACTACAGAATATTCTACTAAACATTTCTACGGGATTTTGCCTTTGCTCTGTGCCATCAAATAGAAGTCAATTCAATGTATCCTGTAGAGGGTTTTCAGAGGCTGTTATGTTGCATCGAGGAGACTGCATATCTTTCTTCTGTGAAGCAGCTGACGGATTTGAAATGCAGTCCTTCGGGTTGGGAGTGCAACTCCTTACTCACTAGCCCAGCCCTTAAATACAAGAAAATCAGTTTGACCTGAAGTAGCCTATGTCCTTAGGCAAATCACACACTATATCTCAGTTATCATCTCAATTGAAGATGAATTATTTAGAAATCTTCTTAAGAGAATTCTATGACCTTGTTATAAACATTAGCTGGATTTTGTTGGGTTTTTTTTTTTTAAATCTTAGACACAGTAATATAAATTCATTCTACAAAAAAAATTGGCAGCAACAGTTGTAGTACTCTCTACTATTATTCCTTTTTCTCCCAAATAACAAAGGTGACATAATTTGGTTGTTTCGGTTTCATTCAAGTTGATTTCAACAGGAAAGGGTGATCCCTCACGTCCCCTGACACAGGCATACAAAACTCACTGACGTCCAGTCAGTTCAGTTCACAGAGATCCTATAAGCAAGAGTAGAACTGCCCCATTGGTTTCCAAGGATGCACATCTTTACAAAAGCCTGGTGACCCTGTTGGGTTTGAAATCAGATCTCTGATTTAGCACCCAAGGACTCAACAACTGGAGGGGGGGAAAAGTGGAGACTTACAGGCAAGCAAGGTACCAACATATGACATCTGAGTAGTCCTCCGAGGGAAAAAAAAGCCATCATCCTAAAAACACCAGGCTTAGTATTTATAACTTATGTTCTACCTACATCCAATATAGTTCTAGATAGCTGCAAACATGTAACAGGCATTTCTAAAAACATGACTTAAAATGTATTGGCCTAAAGGATTTGCTACCAACACAATATAAAAAGGGATGTAAAAGAGAAAGATCCTCAACAAGATAGAGACAGTGACTATGACAATGGGCTCAGGTCTATCAGAGATAGTGAGGACGGCACAGGAGAGAGCAGGATTCACATTCATTGTTCATACTGTTGCTATGAGTCACAGTCATCTCTATAGCACATGCAATAGTTATTCTGGGAGTGGGAAAGAAAATCTCAAATGAAATGAATATGTGTACAGGGCTTGGGTGCATTAAAAGCTATTCTTGCATTATTTTAGAGGGGAAAATAAGTTTATCAAGTCTATCCTAAGAGAAAAGCAGCACTTAATGAAATACTGAATTGAGTACTCACAGGGGATTTGAAATGACCACTGCTGGTATTCTGACTCTTTTGTTTTCCCCCTATTAGTACTTGACAACATGAAGAAAGCTCTAAAGTTGCTGAAGACTGAACTATAAAGAAAATGAAGAGATGTAAGCTCTCTACACGATATCAGGCCTTAAGATTCAGAAACCAGAGATTTTCAAAAGGCTCTGGAAAGCACAGAAGCACTGGTTAACATCTGACAATAGTTTAATGTTGTAACAGCTATTTTGTTGTTGGTTTGTTTTTGTTTTTAATTTGGTTTCAAATATACATGTATGAAAACAGTATCATATACTACCATAGTGAGTCAGAATTTTTTTTAAAATAAATCCTTCTGGAATGTTCAAACTAAAATGGTTTATTTTCTTTCTTTTCAACTTGGCCTCTCACCAAAAAACCTATTTCAAAAAACTATTAGACATTCACACGATGACATACTATGCAGCACACAGGAGCAATGATTTTGAAAATTACTACCTAACTTGGGAGGGACTGGAGAGTATTAAGCTAAGTGAACTAACTCAGTCTCATAAGGACAGATATTGTATAAAACCATTATTGTAGAATTAATATGAGGATCTGGGAGGGGCAGGAGCAAAGGGGTGAAGATGGGAGGGGGAGGGAGTTAATCATTGGGTAGAACAATTTGATGGGTGGAGGAAGAGCTAGGTGAAGCAAATGGGAAAGATCTGGTATGAAAATCAATGTATATTAACTTTGGAAATAAACCAGTATAAAAAATAATTTTAAAAACTAGACTTAATACAATGACAAAAACAAAACAAAACCCACCAACCAAAAAATCCCCAAACAAACAAACAAAAACACCAAAAACCTATTGGACACTAGGGAGCTCGGGTAGCCAATGGCAAGAAGCTGCACTGCAATCCTGAAGGCACATGGTTCGAGGCCACCAGCTGCTCTGCAGCAGAAGAATGGGCAATCTCCTCTTGTATGATTAACTGCCTCTGAAAACCTACACGAGGGTCAGCTATGAGTCTGTCGCTACTTTATGGTATACCACACACACACAACACTGGACAAACACAGGGTGCTCAACCAATACAGAAGAGACAACAAGTTCCATCAGTAAAGACTAAAGCCAGTTAAAGTTAACACCTCCTCACACTACAAGTTTTGAATGACTTTTTAGAGTATACAGAAGGATCAGATAGCACAGACTTTAATACAGGAATGTATCTAGAAAAGCATGCCATGAAAACCAAGTACGTACTTGGAGATAACCCTTCTCAACCCTGACCAGGAAGACTAACTGTGAGTTTTCAATTTTAGTCACATTTTGTCCAACAAAATATTTAATTCTTAGGGACAGCCTCTGGCTGGCAGCCCTCCACTTTAGTAGCTACTGATTAGTAGCCCCCAACTCTGCTACCGACTGTAGTGGCCTACTGTAGTGGGGGGAAGGTCATTGAGGGACATTAGCACTCTAAAAAAAAAATCCTGAGACCTGATCTTATAATACAGATAGTCTCTTAAGATTCTTGAATACTTCTTTTTGTTTACTGTCGGAAATGATTCATAGCTGACCCTCCAGCATGTTTTCAGAGGCAGTAAATCACACAGGAGCTGATTACCTATCTTCCTCTGGCTGGGTAGCTGGTGGATTTGAACTGCATACCTTTGCACTGACAGTAGGACTCTTTACCTTTCCAGCCCAGCATGGAGTAAATTCAGTTTGAACTGGATGGACACAGTTAGGGTCTCCATGTTCTCACCCTCTTTGCAAAATCATACTGGGTGAGAGGAAGCAGTGCCAACCATGTTCAGTTAGAAGTGAGAGGTTGCTATTTACATTTAGAAATACTGTGTGAATACGGAGTAAAGGAGGCAGGAGCTTGAAACCCAGAATCAAATCCACTGTGTTCGGGACTCTGGTGACTTAGCAGGTTAAGGAGTTGTGCTGCAAACCCACTGTCATTGAGTCAATTCTGACTCATAATAACCCAGCAGGACTATGTTGTTGCTTGTGTTGTTATGTGCCATCAAGTTGCTTGTGACTCATAGTGACCCTGAAACCTGCTCTATCCTGTGCCAACTTTACTCTCTCTGATACATCTACCCTCATTACCCTAGCCCCGGTTTCAAACCATCTCATCGATGGACTCCCTCTCTTTCTCCATTCTTCCACACTTCTAAGCATGATGTCCCTTTCCAAGGACTGCTCCCTCCTTACAACATGCCCAAACTATATCAGATAAAGCCTCAGAATTCTTGCCTCCATCGAGCAGCCTGGCTTCACTCTCTCTAAGACAAACCTCTTTGTTCTCCTGGCAGTTCATGGTATAGGAATTTCTCAACTGTGAAACTTCACAGAAGCTGCTTATTTTATCTTTTAATCCAGTAGAGCAACTGGTGCATTCAAACCACTGACCTTTTGGGTCAGCAGTTGAATTCTTTAACCATTATTCCACCAGGTTCCTCTTATAAACTGTATTCTCCCTAACAAAAATAGAACTGAGTATTTCTTCGCTGTATATTTAAACTCACATTCATTAATTGAATTTCCTTTATGGACCAGTTGCCATGGAAATCATTAAGCATAAACAGGGTTCTGTAAAGATGTCAAAGGAAACATTTAAATATACAAAACAAAAATATTGGCAGGCTTTATCTATACTGTTTGCAGAGTAGTACTGATTAGGATTAAACAAAAAAAAAAGTCTTAAGTCAGTCTGCTAATTTGCAGTGTTGGCAACTGTAGAAACTGTGGACATTTATAAGCTAGAAACAGAATTAAATATACACACATATATAAATTGTTTCAAAAATCCATGCAATGCCAGCTCTACACAGTCCTATGTGGTCTTCAATGTTTGTATTTAAATAAGTTTCAAGTGAAAAAATTCAAGATCTCTAACAGCACACTTTCCAAATGTAATTCATTGTTTAATTTCCTGACTGATGACTCTGAGAAGAATAGGAATTTCAGAACATTTGATTGTGTTTACGCGAATCCTTTACTTGGACGAAGAGGCAGCTGTCAGAACAGAGCAAAGAAACACTGCATGGTTCAAAATTGGGAAGGGTGTATGCCAGGGATGTGTCCTAGCTCCAAACCTTTCCGATATGCGCAGAACAGCCTGTGAGGTTGGGCTCCGTGAGGAGAAATGTGATATCAGGATTGGAGGTAGACTCATCAACAATCTGCATTATGCAGATGACACAACCCTGCTTGCTGAAACTGAGGAGGACCTGAAGCGCTTGCTGCAGAAAGTCAAGGACTGCAGCCTTCACTATGGATTGAGTCAGTATCAAGAAAACAAAGATTCTCACCACTGGGCAATTGGCAGCATCATGATAGATGGTGAAGAGACTGAGATTATTAACAGCTTTAGTTTGCTTGGCTCCACAATCAACTCTTACTATAGTGTGAATTATTTCAAATAGCTGAAATGTTGACAATAAAAACTCATAAACATTTACACAGATGGTGAGTATGCCTGCTTCAGATATGTTACTAAATCTATGGGGTTGTCTATCTCCATTTCCACCCCTCCTCCATTGTTTATTTGTTGTTATGTGCCGTCGAGTCGTTTCCGACTCATAGCGACCCTATGCACAACAGCCCTAAACTCTGCTCTATCCTGTGCCAACCGCACTGCCTCTGACACACCCATCCCGATTACCCCAGTCACTGAATCAATCGATCTCATAGAGGGTCTTCCCCTCTTGCGCTGTCCCTCCACCCTCCCAAGCATGATGTCCCTCTCCAAGGACCCGTCCCTCCTGGCAACATGTCCAAAGTATGTCAGACGAAGCCCCAGAATCCTTGCCTCCAAGGAGTAGCTTGGTTTAATCCTCTCCAAGACAAATCCGTTTGTTTTCCTGGCAGTCCAGGGTACATTCAGTACCCTTCTCCAGCACCACAGCTCAAAAGCATCCACTCTCCTTCTGTCCTCCCTAGTCATTGTCCAACTCTCTGATGCATAACAAGCGATTGCAAATACCATGGCCTGTATCAGGCACACCTTAGTCTCCAGAGAGACACTGTTCCCATCGTGATACGCTTTTTGATTTCCCTCCTCCATACATTCAGTAACTTTTTTTTTCTTTTTTTTTTTTACATTCAGTAATTCTAAATCACTTCCTAGGCTCTTGTAATTTATCAATTACTGATAAAAGTCAAGTTCATGTATAAGACCATTATTGTAGAATGAGTATGAGGATCCAAGGAGAGGAGGGGGGTGCTTAATCACTGGGTCACACTATACGATGGGTGGAAGGAGGGGTGGGTAAAGGAAAGGGGTAAAGAGCTGTGTGAAAAACAATCTATTTGAATTTTGTAAGTAAACCAGTATAAAATAAAATTTTTAAAAAAATCAAGTTCAGCAGTAAGAACAGAAAAAATCTGTACAAGTACTACCTTCCTCAGTACATAACAAAGGAGCCAGACTTCAAATTCCAGAGAAACTCAGAACAGCCTAAACCAAGTCACTTCACAAGTTATAACCTTAATTTTGGTCTTTGTTATTTATTGTCCAACTTTCAGATGCCTAAAAAGTAACTGAAAATTCCATCATTAGAATTTGGTACACTTTTAGTCTTTTGTTCTACACCTTAGTCTTTAAGCTGATATTCTTGCTCATTGAGATCCTTGACAGATTTCTCCAAAACATCTTGATTTCTTGACTGCTGCTACCAGGGGTGTTGATTGTGTATCCAAATGCAATTATTGATAATTTCAATCTTTCCTCCATCTACCATGTTGCCTCTTGATCCAAATGTGAGGACTTTTGTTTTCTTGAAGTTGAGATATAATCCATATTGAAAGATGTAGGTTTTTTGTCATCTTCAGCAAGTGCTTTCTCTCTTCTTTCTGCAAGCAAGGTTGTGTCATCTGCATAACACAAGTTGTTGACAAGTCTTTCTCTAACTGATACCACATTCTTCTTCAGATAGACCAGCTTCTGGAATGACTTGCTCAGCATACAGATTGAACAGATAGAGGAAGGATACAACCCCAACACATGCCTTTCCTGATTTTAAGTTGGGCAATGAATAAGAAAAACTGAAGAACTGTGTCTGCCTTTGAACTGTGGTGTTGGCAGAGTACTGATGACATACCATGTCCTGCCAAAAGACCAAATCTGTCTTGAAGGACAACCAGCGAGTTTCTTAGAGGCTACGGTGGTTAAACTTCATTACAATTACTTAGGACATATTTTCAGGAGGAATCAGTTCTTGTAGAGCCATCAAGTTAGGAAAGATGGAGGGTAAGTAAAAGAGAAGACAACTCTCAAGGAGAGAGACTAGCACAGTGAACACTACAATTGGTTTGAGCGTGACAGAAATGGTGATGATGGTGTGGAACAGAGCAAGGTTCAGATTTGTTGTTGAGTTCTTATAAATTGTAGTTGACTTATAACAACTAACCACATAACCACCAATAAAATGCAAGATCCTGAAATTAAGCAAAAGTGACCTTACTCTACAAGTGAAGTCAATTCTTTGATGTACAAATTCATAAGGGTAGCTCTCAAGTCCCCTTTGAAGATAAATTTCATAACTGGCTTTTCCTAAGAGATGAGAAGAGGGTTAGAGAAGGCTAGAATATCACATGGTCAGAGAGTTTGACGTTTCCTTCTCACTGTCCCATGAGGTATTTTCAGCGGCTACAACTTCCCAACTGTCATTTGACAGTAAGAAGTTCAGCATGAAGTGTTCTATTAACTGCTCTCTCCCTTTCCCCCCTTTCTCCTCCTTCCTCAGCAGAGTTGAAGTGTGGAATGAAAGGGGCAGTGCTGGTTATTTCCCTGAAAGTTGCTTAGAAAACATTTACCATCAATACACACACTGTTCATTGCATTTAGCATAAAAAAATCTCAAGCCTATCAAGCACAGAACTTTCCCCAAATCCCTTCATTATCTAGAAACCTGGAATAATTCACATGTAATTTTACTGACCTCTTTAACAATTCACATGTGAATAATTCCATTTGTATAACTGGAATACCTATTATCTCTTTCTCCCTTAAAATACTACTTAAAAATGAATATTTTTTCTTAAGCATCAGTTACCTCACATGCTAATTCAGTGTATTTTTTTAAATAAATAAATAAATAGAAAGCAAATACTTAAAAGAAATGAAGGCTTTATGTTAAAGGAAAATTAAGAACTAAAGGCCACATTTTCCTTTTATTCTCTGATGGGTTCTATGCAGCAGCATTGTGTTAGCCTTAACACACGAAACTGGTTCTCATCATCAAATGTGTTGTGGCTCATATAACAAAGTATCTGCAATGAATTTAATTAACATGAACTAAGATTTAGGAAATCGGAGCCTAGCATTTTTTTTTCTTTGCCTTAACATATTTTTTAAGTGTCACCTTTAACACTGACTGCAAAATTGAACACTCTAGAACATCCTTCCAAATGGACTATGTACATGTATGTGTGTACACACACACATACACACACTTTTTTTAAAGTGCCATAGTCCTTCCCCCCACCTTTTCCTATTTTTTCATAGTCCTTTTGTAAAAGCAGTGGTATTAGGTTTAGAAGCAAGCACCAGAGTTTAGGATTGCCTAACAACCAGCTGCTGGAGTCTGAGGACAGATCCTGATCTAAAACTCTCCTGCTGAGAAAATGGCATTAAGTTCCTCTGTGTTCAAAGGCAGGGCCCCCTCTAGCTCAAGGGTCAGTGTGGGCTCTGCAGCTCTCCAGGAGGTTCATTCAGGATACAGGAAGAAAACTGTTTCCAGCGGCTGTTATGAGACACTGGAATAGGAGCCGTGTGCCTCTCTGCACCCTGACACAAACAGAGATCAAAGGAGACCTCCTAGAAGCGGCTGGGTAATCCAACCCCTTCAGATATCACTGAGAATGAAAAGCCTACAGCAACCTGACAGGGCTGTCCCTAAGACCTGAAAATGATCACTTCACTGGCTAAACATCAGCCATTATCCATTTTAATAGTCATCCTTTTCAAACTTTGATTTTAATTTTGTAGACTCAAAATGACTACTGCAATCAGAACACAAACCAAAGCTACAAGTTGGTGCTCTGGAAAACAAACCCAGTGTACTCATAACTCACCTGCACTAAGAAAATTTCTGTATTAAGAAATTACAGACTCTTCCAAAAAACTTCAAAATGTAACAAATCACAGCATGATGTATGTAATTACTATCACTTGGTTACACATGTAAAATATGCCAAAATGGCATATGTTAAACATACTTAACACATTTTTAAAAAAATACAATAATGCAAATAGGGAAAATTCAGTATTTCTTGTAAAGGGATAGAATTTAAATACTTCCGTCATCTGATAGCTATAATCTCACTTTCCAAAACAAGTGTGATATGTTTACAGTTGCTTCAAAGTTTAATATGACAACATAAGAGTGGTCATAATTCTGTTTTATTGGAATATTAAACCTTAACCTTGCAGGCATAGAACTGACATACCCACAAAATGTTCCAAAATTCTGCAAAGTATTTATCCTCTTTGTCTAAAACCTACCAACACTATTAACTGCTTAGAATATAAAACAATTGAGTAAATTTTGGAAATAAATGACTTTTTAAAAAAATAAAAATGTTGTGATTTTAACGAGTATTACAGAAAAGGTGCCTTATAATTCATTTATTGATACTCGACTTCTCTTATAAAGAACTTTTCTTTGTAGGTTTCATGGATTGAATTTTCCCCCTAAAAATACGTGTCAGCTTGGCTGAACTACGATTCTTAGTGCTCTTGATGTAATGATGTAATCGTCCCTCATGATACAGACTGAAGAGATGAGCCCTGATCTAAGGAATCTGGGGTGGGATGCAATCCTCTGAACTCAGTCATAACCTTGGTTCAATGTAAGGGGAGTTTCTCAGGAGTACGGCTTGCAAGAGATAAAAACAGAGAAGTGGACAGGAGTCCAAGGGATGGGACAGTCTCAGTATGACCAAGAAAGTAAAATGGAGAAGAGTATCTTTTGTTTCGAGGTCCCTGAAATAGGAAACTCCTAGAACCAGGAGACAAAGAAAATAAAGCCTTCCCCTGGAACAATGAATACAGATATCCAAGTTCCTAAAATGTGCAATACATTTTTACTAGAGCCATCTTAAAGTTAAGAAACTTTCAAAGGCACACCATTCAAATCCACCAGCTGTTCTGGAGAAGGATGGACAATTTTCTCCTGTGCAATTTACTGTCTCTGAAAATCTCAGGGAAGGTCTGCTGTGGGTCCATCCCAACTCCATGGAACACAACAACAACAAACAAACAACAAAGCCATCCATACCGTATTCTAGAAGCACCAGATAAATAAGCCTTTTTTGGAGGAAGTACAACCAGGGTGCCCCTCAGAGGCAAATATGGTGCAACGTAATCTAGTATACTTTGGACATGTTGTCAGGAGGGGTGAGTCCTTGGAAAAGGACATCATGCTAGTAGAAGGTGGGTGAAACCGCCTCAACAAAATGAACTGAGACAGTGACCATAACAATGAGTTCAAATACGTTGGAGATGGCGAGAATGGCACAGAGCAGGACAAGGCTCAGCTCTGTTGCTGGCAGGATCTCTCAGAGTTGTAGCTGACTCAACAGCACATAACACAGCATAACAGATAATCAAAACCAGATAGTCAATATGTGAGGAGTGAACCACTGTTTTACCAGTTCTTTTCTGTATGCTATAGAGAATATTTCCATATCATATGCAACTTAAAAAAAAATTTCTTCATGTACAATTGAGTGACATTGATAACATTCTCTGAGTAATATAACCATTTCCACTCTCCTTTGCTGAGTTGTTTCTCCTAGGATTTCAAAAAGCTTAAGTGGATGATTACCAGTAAAGCTTAGTGCTGAAAGTTCATTTCTGTAGTTGATTTCACACTAAAGTAGCCATGTCTACCTCCAAATTTGTCCCTTCAAATACAAAGCAAAAAGGAAAAAAATTCCATTTCACTTCATTAATTTATCAATTCTTATTCTTTTCTTTCAAGTCAAACATCCACCCATAAAGAAAGGTTTCCATTCTTTAATTTTTAAACATAATATACAATACTATTTCAAAGTGTGGGAGATCACATTCAAATATGTTTAGAGTTGACAAGGTGCTGTTACAATACTGAGAAAGTTTCACGAAAAGAAATTATTTAATCCTTTGTAAGATAATTAAGTATCGTTTTACTACAAGGGGCAACACATCAAGGATAACATGTTTAAAAATGCAGTCATTTGGACTTAAAATTATTATAAAATAGCAATCAAGGTTAAAGGGATATACTTTTTTAATTAAGGAAACTTGTTCCATTTTGAAGGCTGGAGGTAAATGTGACATTTCAGAATGCTTCATAAGACTACTTCTCTGTTGCACTTACCTGTGAGAGCTCAAAAACTAAACCAACACTTTTCTAAAGACATAGCTAGTTCTAGAATACATTAATGTAATCCTAAGACTACCAGAACTAAAGTATCACTTTTATACTAACAATTTTCACCACAACACATCTTTCCTAAAAAGACAAAATGGAAATCTGTATTTTCCTCATTAAATTTAACATAATAGAATTTCATATTTCTGGCTTTAATAAACCTCAACTCTTTCCCAGTAGTAACTATCTACAGAGCACAGTGCTACATAAAAAATTATTCCAGTGAAATATGTATATAGGTTCACAACATGATCCACACAGTTAGTGCTATACAAAGTTTTTTCTGCAGGTACAAATGCTAAGAAAGGCCACAGTGGACAGTGCCAGACACTGTGAATACAGTAGGTTACAGGTACCACTGAGGGTCAGAGAAGACCATAAGTTTCAATTTGTTTTTCAGCAATGGGAAAAAGAAAAACATTCAACAAAACCTAAGATTAAAAAAAGGTAATTCCACTGTCAATAATAATTTTTCAGATCCTATTTCCTCAATTAAATGGACAAATCAGATGAAAAGTTATGGAACATGTAGACAAGATCAGAAAATCAATGATTCTCCTTGTTTTCTCATCAAAGGAATGCACTAGGATTAGCACGAGGATCTTTTTGGTTTCTGTATCTGTAGGTCAGCCAAACACCCAAGATCTGAAAAGAAAAAAGAATAAAAAGAAAGTAGTACCTGTATAATCTGGTAAAGTATCATTTATCAGTAAGATAATCACATGAACTCTGGAATCTTTCAAGCACTTTGCATTATTTGTTCCAAAAGGAGATTTCTTTATCTTTTTGAAATATAATGATTAAATCAAATAAGATACTGTAATGGAGAAAACATTTATTATGAGCACTGTGACAAATTAAATCATGACCCACTCTCTCAAAAAAAAAAAAATCACCAAATCTGGATCTTTAGAAAGGAACTTAGGAAGCACTGTCGTTAAGAATCTGCTACCCACCAGCTGCTCCACAAGAGAAGGGAATAAAGTTTTTCTATAATGATTTACTGCCTTGGAAACATTGTAGGACAGTTCTACTTTGTTCTAGAAGGTAACTAGGAGTCAGTGTTGATTTAACAGTCATGGGTGTTGTGTTTTTAATCCTTAGAATCTACAAATGTTATGTGGCCATAAGAGACTTTGAAGATATCATTAAGTCAAGGATCTGATCATTGGGAGACTATTCAGAACTGCTATGGCAGGTCCAATGATATAAGTGTCCTCCTAAGAGTGAAGCAAGAGGGTCAAAGTCAAAGATAAAGAAGCTGGAGAAACAGGCCATGACATGAGGAACACAGGTGACTTCTGAAGCTGAGAAAGGCAAGAACACAGGTTCTTCCTGGAGCCTCCAGAAGGGACCCAATTCTACAAACCATTTAGACTTCTGATTTCCAGAACTGTAAACAAGAAAAGTGTGTTGTCTTAAGCCACTAAATTTATAATAGCAAGAGGAGACTAATACACATACTGGACAGCCTGAATAACTAAACATATATTTTTTGAAAATTCAAAACAAAAATGGGGTCATTAATAATTACATAATAACAAAGATCCTAGAATTTGCCAATATGGACCATTTTAAAATGTTAGTTTGTTGCCCACGTCATGGTGACTATCCATTGGGTTTCTAAGACTGTTCATCTTTTACAGAGAAAAGTGCTCACCTCTTCCGTGGGGCAGCTGATGGCCCTGTAGTTGCAGCCCAACACATTACAAACCACGCTACCAGAACTTCTTTCATAATGGGTTAAAACTCTGGGTTTACCAGATCCTAATCCAGGTTTTAGAACTATGGTATGTTGTTACCATACAATTTTTGCCATGTTTATTTTTTAAAATGAACCAACAAAACGTGTATTAAGATATATGGCTCTTCTGTTTCTGTTACTTTAATATTGCTTTGGTTTAAATTTTTTTTTTAACTTCTTAAAAAAGATAAAATTTTAATGGGAAAAAACTAACTTCAAATTATATTTTTTTACTTTAGAAATCTGTGCTAAATGTTAACATGATCCCCTCTCAACTTGACTTCTTTTTTTATCCATTCTTTTAATATTTCTGGAGAATTGGAATAAATAACCAATTTCCCCACTGATCACCATGACACTTGGATAATATTAATAATCATGACATGTACAGGCTGATGAAACTGTAGTTTGTGAACTGAACCAAGGACCAAAAAAACATTCATTATCATCAAGTAGGAACTGATTCATAGCTGACCGTCCACAGGGTTCCAAGGCTGTAAATCAAATGGGAGACTGGCTGCCTTTCTCCCAAGGAATTAATGGGAGATTTGAATCACCAGAGAGGTATGGCTCCTGGGCTAGCAAGCAATGCAACTCCCTATAGACTACACCTCCTGAAGTTCCCGGTGATTTACCAAATGAGTCAAGCCTCATCTGACAGAACAGAAAACTCTATTGTGGAAAAATAAAAATGGTGATTCCCTCAATCCCCGTACTCCCCAATCTAGTGTTCCCTGACGAATTGTTACCATAGTATGTATCATCAGGCTATACACAGTTTAGTTATTCATTATGTTTACTGTGTATTAACTGTACCCACTAGAAGATAAGCTCCCAAGGGCAGTAGTTTCCTACTTTTTGTTCACTAAGGAATTCCATGTGCCTAGAATAATGTCAGGATGCACAATAACTTGTAACTGAAGGGAGAGATACAAAGAAAAGAAACTGCTGGAATCTGTCTACTTGGAAAGAAAACTTACTTAAATACTGACAATGGATTCACTATACTTTGTGGCAAGCACAGTTCAACATACTTTATAAATACTAATTCAATTCTACAAAGTAGGTACTATCAGTTTTCCTGTTTTATAGATGAAGACATGGGGTTGCAGAAAGGTTAAAGATCTAGCTAAGTTACATAGTTTGTGAGCTGCGGAGCCAGAGTTAAAAACAAGAACTGTTCCTATTTTTTGTCTCTGCTCCCATATGTGATAATATTCTGACATTGTCAGAAGGTCAAAGTAGCATTCCATCATTTCAGCTACATTGTTTGTTATAAGACTAAGTTACTCATACATCTGCTGTTACAAAAGTAGATTCTGAACCACTTCTTTCTCATCAACTGCCCAGGCATCATTCTCTTGACCCTTCAGAAACTCTGCCACCCAGAAGATTCTGAGTAGGACTTTTAAAGCTGTTAAACATTCTTATTATACCCACATATATGTTAATGTACAAATCACAGCATATCAAGCATTTGGGTAAATAAATAATCAATACCAGAGCTACATATTACCAGCATTGAATCACTCAAACTCAGCTCTAAGTGGTAAAAAAGGGAAATGTTTTTCTTCCCCCTCTGTCTAACCACTAACTTTTCCCATACACTTAAAAAACACTCAAAGTCAGGTGACTACCAATTTTTTAAGACTACAAAGATACTCTGATTTAGGGGATTCTTAAAGGGGAAAATCTGCAGTTTGGGACCTCTCCAAATTATTGAGGAACATTGATGTCAGTTTGAGGACTGAGGTATGCCTGGTTCAGGCCATAGTATTTCTAATCACTTGCTATCTGGACAGTGAATAAGACAGAAAAAGAATTCGAACCTCTGGGATGTGGTGTTGGAGAAGAGCACTGACCATCCCATGGATGGGCAAAAGAATAAACAAGTATGTCTTGGAGAGGGTGCAGCTGGAAAATGATGAGGCTTTACCTCACATACTTTGGGTATACTGCTACGAGGTGCTATTCCTTGGAGAGGGATGTGATCCTGGGAAGTATGGAGGGTTGGCAAAGGAGAGGAAGCCCTCAACCAGGAAGAATGACACTGCGACTGCTGGAATGGGCTTTTGTGTGTGGGGAACTGTGAGGAATGCACAGGGTAGAACAGGTTCAGGTCTTTTGTCACAGGGTTTCTATAAGTCATGCTTGACTCAGTGGCACCTAACAACATCAACACATAATACATTATAAAATCTGTTTGTAATATATATATATATATAATATAAACCCCCAAAAAGTTTCATCAAAATTATGAAAGAATTCCTCACTTCTTCAAATTATAAAATGTCTTTTTTTCTTATAAACATGCATATTATAGATTAATATACAATATAGTATGAATGCATATTATATAAGAAATGAATAATGAAGGTTGCCTCTAGGTTCTAGAAGTCTAGGAGAGTGGAGGATGAGCCTAAAAGAAATTGTTTAAAGTATATTTAATTGTTTAAAGTTATGTATTGTGTACAGTATTTTTTATATATACTCTCACACGTACATATAAAACAATATGGATGTGTCCCACTTAGTCTGAAAGTTTTTCATTTACCCTAAGGAAAAAATTAAATTGCCATCAACCTTGACTCACAGTGACTCATAGGACAGGAACACAGAACTACCTCACAGGGTTGCTAAGGCTATAATCTTTACAGGAGATCTCTATATTTTCCTCCATGAAGCACCTTGAACTTCATTTTGTAAGTTCAGTGATTCTGAACTACCAAACCATGGGTCAGCAGAAGTGTCTAACCACTGCAATACCAGTGTGCCACTTTAGCATAAATTAAAACATCATTTATCACAGAACTAGAAGAGATCCTAAAGATAACGCAGTCTAATGTCTTCATTTTATAGAATCCTTACATTGTACATTAGACAAAACAGATAAAACCTTTTATCCCCTTCACAAAGTCATTAACTAGATAAAGGAAGAGAACTCAGATCTCCCAACTGCCAGCCCACCAAGTTACAATGCTAGTTTTCAATGAAGACACTGAGGCATTTCAAACATTGCACATCTTGCTAAGGTAAACCTGATGCCCTCCAAATGTGGCTATACAGACAAGGGGCTGACTATAAAGACAGGTTGTTCCCACATGCTTCTGTGAGTGTTATTTCCACATACTTCTGTAAAAGGTGAGTTCACGTACCTCTGTAAAACTGAAGAAGAGCCCAATACCGCCAACAAATCGCAAGACCTCTCCAGCATATTCACCAATGATAGGAGCACATGGGGAGCATGGGTGGCCACTTTTAACACAGTTCTGCATCAATGAAAGAAAAGAACTTCTATTTTAACACATATTTATGAGAAACAAACAAACAAAAATTTTAAAACACCCCAAACTTTGGGAGGTCATTATTATTTCCATTTGGAATTCGAAGACAGCCACCAGGATTTGCTCCACATCCCCCAGCCCCAGTGTAAACCCACATAATCCCTCATTTGAGGGACAAGTCTTGTGAATATGATGAGATCATCTCTCCTCCAAATTATTACATTGCACTCTACTGTAAGATATGAGAACAGCCTCTAAAGAGATAGCTCATTGGACAGCTAGGAAACAGGGATTTTTATCCCATAACAAGAAGAATTGGATTCTCAAACAACCAGTGACCAGAAGAGCTTCAGGTCAGAGTGCAGGTCTAGCCAACATCTTGATGGCAGCTTCGTGAGATTACAAGCAAAGAACTCAACCAACCCATATTCATACTTCTGGCTCAACAATTCTGAATAAATGAATGAGTGTTTTAAAACTCTATGTTTATGATAGTGGGCTACACAGCAAGAAGAAAAGGATCCTACAGCAAAAGAAAAATAATGGTGCAAAAGTCGCCCCTCCTAAGGGAATTTCCAGTTTAGAGTTCAGAGAAGTGCTAAAAGGGTTTCTCCAAAACAGAAACTCATGTGAATGTCTTATGAAGTCAAGCTCTGAGCCCATCCTCCCATACATCAGGCAGGAAAAAGAAGTCAGGACCTTGGTGAGGAGGGTTGCAATTGCTGTATTACTTAGCTTAGCTCCCAAAGACAAAGGGTATAAATGTCAATGATTTGAAGGAGTGATTTTCTCAATATGGTCCTTCTAGTCAGAGTCTCTTGACTCCATATAATGAGTGGGACTGTGTAGCTGTAGCCTAACAAGGGGACAGGATAGCCTGCTAAGAATGCAAATAAGAAGCATGGAATCTCTGTGAAGAAAGGCAAATAAAATGTGAATTTTGTCATCATTCTACTACTTAAAAAAGAGTCAATCCCAAGAAGGAAGGGATGGGGAGAGGCGGAAGTCTCTCACTACCACCAAAAAAAAAAAAAAAAAGCTAGGAGGAAAGCACTTCCTTTGGGCCAAAGGTCCCTGTGTTGAGAACCTCCTAGATCCAAGACAGACAGAGCTGTACTCTGAAGATGGCACAAAATGGTAAGTAGTAGCAACAAGCATACCAGAACTGGCAGATGTGGAAGCAGGATACAACACTGTAGGTCTCCTGGCTTAGAGACCTACAGAGCTGAGCACCTTTGGTCTAAGGGTTACTGACATGCCTCATACTGATGGTGTGTCTCTTACTGGTGGAGCTCAAGAGTTTTGAAACACTAGTCAAAGCAGTGCAGAGGCCAATCCAAGAGGTCCAGGAGATCATGAAACAAGGAGAAGCCTGTCCGTGGACATAGCTGAGAAGCTGCCAAGAACAAAGAATCATATCCAAAGTTGTTGTCCTCAATCTTGACACTAAATTGTAACTGTTGTTGTAAGGTGCTGTCTAGTCAACTAGGACTCACAGCAACCTTATGAACAATAGGTGGAACCCCTGCCCAAACTTTGCCCATCCTCATGAACTCCACTACACTTAAGCCCACTGTTACAGTCAATCCATTTCCTTGAGAGTATTCTCATATGCTGAACTTCTACCTTTCCCAGTATGATGTCTTTTTCCAAGGATTAACCCCTGTTGACAATATGCTCAAAATATATTACACAAAGTTTGGCCATCCATGCCTCTAAGAAGAACTGGATTGCACTTCCTCCCAGGAAGACTTGTTTGTTCTTTTGGCAGTTCATGAGATATTCAATACTCTTCTCCAATATCACAATTCAAAGGCATCAATTCTTCTTTTTCTTCCTTATACATTCCTCAACTTTCAGATGCATAAAAAAAATAAATACACCATGGCTTACTTAGATCAGGTTCACTTTGGTCTTTAAACAGACATCCTTGCTTCTTTTAGCACTTTAAAGATGTCCTTGGCAACAAATTTTCACAATGAAACACATCTTTTGATTTCTTGACTTCTGTTATCCTGGGTGTTGATTATGGATCCAAATCAAACGGCATGATTAACAACATAAATCTTTTCTCTTTCTATCATGATGTTGCCTATTGGCCCAGGGGTGAGGATTTTTGTTTCCTAGATGTTAATATGTGATCCATATTGAGGGCTGTAGTCCTTGATCTTTTACAGCAAGCGCTTCAAATTTTCTTCACTTTCTACAAGCAAAGTTGTGTCATCTGCATAATATAGGTTGTTGATGAGCCTTCCTCCAATCCTGAAGTCACATTTTTGTTCATATAGTCTAGATTCTCAAATCATATGGTAAAAATACAGATTGAAGAGGCATGGAGAAAGGATACAACCCTGACATAGACCTTTCTTATTTTTAAACCATGCAATGTTCCTAAGTTTTGTTCAGACAACTGCATCTTGGTCTATACATAGGCTTCACGTGATCTCAATTAAGTGTTCTGGGATTCCCGTCCTGCTTAATGTTACTCAAAATTTATCATTATAACACTGTTAAATTCCTTTGCACAGTCAATAAAACACAAGTAATCATCTTTCACTGCTTCCAGCCAAGATTCTTCCGACATTAGCAATGATATTCCTTGCTCCATGGTCTGCCATTTGTTGCACTATGGTGGTTTATATGTTACTGTGATGCTTGAAGCTATTCAAATACCAGCAGTATCAACTATGGTGGGCAGGTTTCAGGCAAGCTTCCAGACTGTGCTCACGCTGATTATCCCTCCCCTTGAAAAGTCAAAGAGATCACATGCCCTTACCACACAATCTTCGTAAGAGGAGAAGAGAATGGAAAAAGGTACTTCCATGTGTCCTCCATACTGGACATGCTTAGCTGTTTAAGAAGGTCTGTTTGGTGCATGACTTAATACCAAGATACATGCATACATTCTCTGTATTACTAAAGCTGATCTGTATTTTCTCTTTCATAACATGTTTTAGAAAGAGTAGGATCTAGAGAAATTAGGAGTAATGACTAGAAATATCTAACAGGATCCTGAAATACTTAATCTTCAGCAATCTTAAAGAATGGGCATCTGAGAATGAGCAAATGATACAATAGTGTACATGGAAGTAAAATGTAGATCTATGAAAAGCACTTTTAAAGTAAAACTCAACATCAAAAGTCAATTAATTTCTTCCAGGTTAATCATGATCCACTTGTATAGAATATCTCTCCAGTAAATACTCACAGCCGAACAGGTGTCATTTGGGTTAAAACTTCGGAACCCACAGCAGTTTAAATTTCTCTGGATGTCATTTCGAGCACTTGCTGTATTATTCCAACCAACTTCAAGGAGTTGACCCTAGGTAATGCATTTAACATTTACATTACAATACGGCATCCTTGATGGAAATACATAAGACTAAGATGTGTAACTTTCGGTATAAGCATACCATAAATGCATATTTTTTTTCTTTATAAGACTACCTAAACTTTTCAAAGAATCATTTCTTACTCTCCAACAGAAAGTACAGATTATTTCTATCTTAAGAATGTGTAAGTCTTCAACTTAAGTGCAATTTACATTTAAAAGATATAGTGATTCAATCACACAGTGTGATCAAATTCTACTGTCCTAAAACAGAGGCTTATATTTCTCTACAAATTACTCTGTGAAAGGACTTACTTCCTTAAATGGAACCATAATCATCCTGGAGCAAACATTTCATTAAAACAATAATAAGAGAAGACTGGGTGGACAGCTTGTAGCAGAAGGAAAAGAGAATGTGATATTTATCAAGAAAACAGCATCCTGAGTAAGAGGAAATTACAACTCAACCCCTTCTCCTTTTACTATACTCATACCATGTGGTATAATTAAAAAAAACGTCTTTGCTTACCTGTTGCTCCTGGTTCAGGGCCAAACAAGCACAGGACACAGAGAACTGAACAATAAATACAAGTAAGAGAATAATCATGTACTGAGAGTTAAATGTTAAGGATGTTCTAGGTACTTGAGAGGAAAGTACATAATTACAATATTGATAACATAGATAAAATTTAATAAGGAAAAATCATTATAATTATCTAAAAGATCAGAGAGTAAGTACAGATTAGCAGATGTAAACTTTCTTAAAAATAAATCTGAAAAACAAACAAGCAAATCAAAACAGAACACAACCTCCTGTGAAAGTCAACCAAATAAATACTCATTTGCTATAAAAAGTCTCAGGGATTACTGAAACAATTCAGTTTACTTCTAATTTGTAATACGTACATGGGTCTATCCTGAGTGTAAAAAAAAATATTCTCTTTTATATGATAAGGAAAAAAGAAATAATGCAAACCTACAATAACTTTATCCTAAGACGTTTCTGTGCTGAACAAATACACATGGGGTCTTGCTAGGCATTCATTTCCTAATCATAATTATAAATTAACTACAGCTATCAAACAGTTATCAGTAGCAACTCAAGGCTCAAATCCAATGAAGTCAAGCCCACATAATTAAAAGGATACAAAAAACAGTAACACCTGGTGGTGTTTCACGGCTCCAATCAGCCCCACTAAGGCAATCAGGAACAAGAAGATGCCCACAGCAATGACCACGCCGACCACGCGGAGACTGGAAATCAGGCCGAAGCCAATGCCCCAGGCAGCAATTCCAATGAGCAGCAGACTAACCAGCTGCAAGGACAAGAAAAAGCAGGGGAGGGAAACAAGGACAGGGAGCAGTGTTAATTTATTCAAGTCCAAAAGCAGTGTTCGAGGGTCTGCTTAGAACCTTACAAATAATGGCTAATGTTAAATCTGGAACTAACTGCACATAAGACTTCAGTTCAAAGCATTTTAACAAAGGCTAGTAATCCACTATCATGTTGTTTGTGGGGTTTTTAACTAGCAATCTATAAAATAGGGAGCCTCAGAAATCTAGTTTATTAAACACCAACATAGATTACTCAAGCTTTTGAAATAACTGCATATGTAAAGCTTCTGGGTGCCAATGCATCTCAGTTCAACACATTGTTCTCTTCACTCTCAAATTACTCATCTTTCTTTCAAAGTCCAGCTGGACTGCAATCTACTCTACCCTAGCCACCTCCTCCACAACAAACTGAACAGACGGTATCAATCCCCCTCTTTGGGCAACTTCTGTTCCTTGAATATGGTTCCATGACTCCCCTCAGCACACTCAGTGCTTCTAAACTTGGCTCTCCTAGGAGACTGTGAGCAACCAGACCTTAAGGGTCCCCATTTCTCACTTCTCTCTGTCCCCCAGGCCAATCACAGGACCTAGCAACTGAGGAGCACTCAAAATCTGCTCACCAAATTGCTACTGAAACAAACTGCTTCAGATGTCACTATTCTCTTCGTTTATCTCTACATTAATATGAATGAGATTCATATTAATATTAACAACATCCAGATGTCACCATCATTCTAACAGAAACACATTATTTCTACACACATGTTAAAAAAAATCCTGGCATGGCAACACTGACAAAATATGAGGATATGGGAATGCTGGTCTGGTAGGGGTTGGAAAAGAAACACAGCCAGCACAGTCATTTGTATAAAAATGCATGTAGGATATCCATTTAGACTTAGCAAGATAAAGAGTATTAGATTTTAACTTTATCATGTGAAATGCAATACTTAAAAAAACAAAATCAAGTAAAGGAATAAACACAAGGCTCAAAAAAGGATATTTTCTGTAAAAGTTACAAGTATGTTTTAAAATAATAAAGAAATAGATAAAGATTATAATTACACAGGAAGCAGTTAGAACCAACTCAATGGCAACTGTTTGTTTTAAAACTGGCTTTAGGGCAGGCAGTTAAGACAGAGGGAGTTATGCTGAAAAGGGAGATGATAATCGTCAAGTCCAACCACTTTCTGAAGCACATTGACAGTTATCATATCTAGGTGGGAAGACTTGAAATATATATAAACTGTGCTAGAAAGTACCATTTAAAGGCCTGAAAATTTGGTTTATAAATCTAAAAATGGATCTTTATAAATATAAAATGGATTTTCCCTACTCAAGTATTTTTATACAGCCATAATTAGACACAAATTTTAAATTTACTGGTATCTAAATTAGAAATACTAAGAAAACTGCTAAGTACAGAAAAAAATGACATTTATTAATATTTTTTCGGGAGTTCTGGTGGCTTTCCTTATGGTGACTTCTACAGAGAAGGATATCATGCTTGAATAGGTGGAGAGACAGCAAAGGAGAGGAAGACCTTTAACCAGGAGTGACAGTGTCTGCAGCAATGAGTGTGTCAGAGATTGTGAGGCTGGCAAAGAGGACAGGGTTCAGATCTTTTCATAGAGTCACTATGAGTCATACTTGATTCAGTGGCACCTAAAAACAACAACTGGTGACTTAGTATTTAGGAGTTGCACTGCCAACTCAAAGGCAGGTGGTTCAAATCCACCAGCCGCTTCTTGGAGGAAAGATGGGTAATCTCCTCCCGTGCAATTTACAGCCTCTAATAACCTGCCGGAGGGTCAGCTATGACTTGGTTCCAACTGTATGGTACACAACAATATTTATATTTTTAAGCACTTATTACAAAGAAGCAAAATTTGAGGGTGAAAGAAATCACTGGTAGAAAAACAGAGAAAGTTTGTGGAGATATCTCTAGCACCATGTGTAAGTTTTTTCTATCATGGTTACTTGTGTTTTACTGTAGAAGCATTGGTGTTTCATGTACTTGTAATTATCCTTGGTGATGAGTTAAGCTTCAGTGAAGCATCCAGACTAAGAACTAGGAAGAACTACTACTACGCAAGAATGAACATAGAACAAAGAAATGATGCTGAATAACGTAAGCCATAGCACAAAGAGACAATTACGGTAAAAAAAAAATAAATAAAATCCTCATTAATACAAAAAACCAAGAGACAATTACTTTAAAAAAAAAAAAATCAAACCCTCATTAAGACAAAAAGCAAAGAAACCGTTTACACACAGAACCAATGCTGGAGGGTTTACAGGGATGAGAAAGGGGGGAGATGGGAGCAAAACTTAATAAACAGATAATGTGGGTGAAGGAAAAAGCAGTGTTCAGTAAGACATTCTGTTTAACTGCATTCATTGATTTTAATGAATATTATAAAACAAAATGTATATAAAATAGCAATGAAGAATCAATATGATTTGTAAACATTCACACAAATTAAAAAAAAAATTAGTGGAAGAAAAATACAATAATTGTCAGCCCCTCAAAAAGAAATGAAGATCCTGAGAAATCAAAGAAATAAAAAGTGCATTCTCAGTTGAAAACAAAACAAAACAAAGAACGATTTTGAATAATATTGCATGAGTTCCAATATTATTCAAAATGGTTGACTCTGGAGAACATTATGCTGAGTGAAATATCCCAGTCACAAAAGGACAAATATTACATGATGCCACTGTTGTAGAATG